AAAGTTCTCTGTATGCTTACTAAAGTGTTAAGTATTTTACCAGTTTAACAACACCTTAACTCTTCTCTGTACACTCACTAAAGTGTTAAGTATTTTACCAGTTTAACAACACCTTAACTCTTCTCTGTACACTCACTAAAGTGTTAAGTATTTTACCAGTTTAACAACACCTTAACTCTTCTCTGTACACTCACTAAAGTGTTAAGTATTTTACCAGTTTAACAATACCTTAACTCTTTTCTATATAACTTGCTAAAATGTTTGATAGCTTTCCAGTTTAACTGGAGTTTAGTAAATAAATAAAGTGATAGATTAGGTTTACACTCAGTTTTATTTACATAATTAGCCAATACCACACAGGAATTGTAAAATATGTGGAGGGGAAATAACTTATTTTTTTTAAAGGAAATTTTTCAGTATGAGTTTATGCAGAAGGAAATGTCAGGTTTCGATATATTTTCTACCCTAAAGAAAAGGACTTGAAGGTTACAGATTGAATATTTATATAACACTTTATAAAAGCAGGTGAAAAAAAGTGTTAAATGACGTTATAAGCAGAACATGCATGCACTCTAAAGTATCCACAAGAGAAATATGATAAACATGTCTGTGGTTATACTTCTATGCCACTCTAAAATTACTATGGTGTTATTTCCTCCTTCTCTAGTCCTGATATTTTTTACCTCCAGGTATCGTACAGATGCCACTGATACCACCGGTATTACTCATCTATTTATTTATTTTTTAATAATAAAATATAATTCATTTCTAATAATAAATCATAAACACAACCTTTTTAGCTTATACTGGTTAATCTGGTAAAAAAAAGTTAAAAGTGCTTTAACCCTTTCTGGACTAGGAGAGGGGATGGGTGGGTGTGATTGATATCCCCTGACTTTTATATATATATACATATATATAATTTAAAGGCAATACAGGGCCTTTTAGTCCATCTAATTTTCCCATCCACTAAATTAAACTTCAAAAGTGAAAATAACACACTCAAAGCCAGCCCTTATCAAAACTTCCTTTAAGTATCCTTCCATTAACTGCATCTATCATATTTGAAGGTTAAAAAATAAATCTAAAGATTATATTTATGTCTCTTTGAATAAATTTATATGGAAATACTTTGCCAACTTGTGTGAAGTTTAATAAAAATTAACTAAATATTATTTAATTTTGGCTTAAAGACTCATATAATTTGGTTAAACTTTTTCTGTCATTTTTTAAGAAATTTTCAAAATTTTTCTGTGAGACACTGCTTTGAAAAAACATTTAAAATACTTTCTTGTGTCTTAGAATTTAAATTTTTTTTGTTGATTAGAAAGTTCAACAATTATTCCAATCAGTTTCACTATGATTGATTTTTATTAACATATTTCTTTTCATTCTATAACTTCCCGATTTCAGTAGTCACCACTTACGGCTATAAGTCATAAAAAACACAGTAAAACTGACAGAAATTTATTGGTGAGCTTTGATTTTACCTTTCACAATGGCAAACATCAGGTCATGTCAAGTAACTATTTGTGCTAACTAACTTTTGGCCAAGATCATTTTATTTATAATAGTTTGTTTTTAAAAAATAATAGGTTTTTTACTTTTACACAGTGTTTGAATGTGAAAAAAACTTAATAATAATTTAGTGGGATGGAATCACTTTGAGATTAATAAATATACCCAATGATGACAAACCGTTGTCGAAACATACAGCAGTTACTATGTTAAACTTATATTAAAATTTTCTTCATTACCCATTCCAAATACAAACTTTATTAAAAATAATATTCAATAAGGATTTGAGTCATCAGAATATCTTGCCATCCCCTATTGCACTCTCCAAACCTAACTAGTTATACCAAATGTCTTGTCATAGAATAAAACATCCATAACTTTCAAAAAATAAATTTGACACCAGTACATTTTCATGCAATAAAATAATATCTAATGAAAATGTAAAAAGAATCAGAAATCCATGGTTACGATCCTAAGTCTTCTAAACTTCCCACTAAACTTCACTGTTGTTCTCTGCAGGAGGTAAGTCTTGATACCATAAATTATTTCTCACACCATTTTATTCACCCATTGACATAAATAGTTTATAATTTGCTTTATCAAATGGTATTTTCAAAACTGAGTTTCGTTAGTAGTTGTTCTGATCACATGAAGTGTGATCATAATAAAAGTGGGAAGGGAGTTCGTACCAATAAAATCATAGAGAAGGAAAATCACAAGAGAAGGAAAACCTTGAGAAGTATATTATAAGGGGGTAATAGTTTCTTAATAAATGCTTTGGGATGGCAGAAAAAGTATAATAAATATCGATAAAATCATTGCTTACAGGTAAGGTTCCTTGGAGCCGTGCAGAAAGGCAAGTTTTAACATTTTTTTATTTTACTTTGCAAATTATGCTTAAAGAATATTACAAAATGAGAAAATATCAATTCTAAAATATCTATGACAAAAAGATTGTTGAAACTGTTTGTTTGTTTTTGAATTTCCCGCAAAGCTACACTAGGGCTATCTGCACTAGCTGTCCCTAATTTAGCAATGTAAGACTAGAGGGAAGGCAGCTAGTCATCACTACCCACCGCCAACTCTTGGGCTACTCTTTTACCAACAAATAGTGGGATTGACCACCATATTATAATGCCCCCACAGCTGAAAGGGCGAGCATGTTTGGTGTGACGGGGATTCAAACCCACGACCTGAATTATTATTTTTACTTGAATTTTGAAAATGTGTTTGTTTTTTTAGCACAAAGCTACACAATAAGCTATCTGCACTCTGTACATCATGGGGTATTGAACCCCAGATTTTGGCACTGTAAGTTTATAAACTGACTTTTGACTCACCAGGGGGGAATTTGATATGCAGGTGTGCACTTGACACCTGAAAGGTACTCACAAGTATGGAAAGGGTTAAAGTCACTAATTTAAGTATATTTCAAAATTAAAAATGTTAAAATCAATGACTTAACAAGACCATTGCTACAGCTAAAGAAGAATCAAATACAAGGTATTTTCTTATCCATAAATATACAATTCTTGTAGCTGTCATTATAAAGAGAAATTCTGGTCATCTTCCATTAATAACAGAAAGTAAGAAAAACAACTTAATAAATAATAACAAGAAAAACTAATCTCTTTAAGAACTGTGATGATGCCACAATTCAGAGATTGGCTAAATCTCTGGTCTAGCCAATTCATGGTCAGTAAATTAGGTGATGTTGGTTTAACTTGTCTGGCACATCATCTGTACACACTGAAACAATAAAGAAGTATTTTAAAATTAAATGCAAAATTATATATATATATAGATAGATATATGTAACCAAAGCTAGGACTAACATGTTACTTAAGTAACTCTACTGTAATAGTTTATATATATATGTAACTAAAGTTAGGACTAACATATTACTTAAATAACTCTAATGTAATAGTTTTACTTTTGTCAATAATAACGTATCATAACATGTTAGATTTTTAAGGAGAGTAATCATATTACAGTTACTTTCTGCAAAACAGAAGTGAGTTAATCTCATTACCTTCTCTCTATTGTACACCTACTTTAGTGCTGCTCTTTTCATTTTTAAAGCCAAAGTAAATTTCAGTTTTTGAATTCTAAGCAAATAAAATATCATAATGATGTGTCAAATACAATTTTCTTCTGAATAACTAACAAACCTATTTCAGAAAGCAGCTCACAAAATGGTTTTCCATACAAGCTTTACCAATACCAAGTTCATAATGTTTCTATCTGGCTAATTGCACATTTGCACACTGGCTATTAGGTTAATGAGTGCATGATGTCCCATCAAATTAATGAATGTAAGCTGTGACATCATATTAACAAGTGCATGCTGTGACATCATATTAATGAGTGCATGCTGTGCCATCATATTAATGAGTGCACAGTGTGCCATAAGATTAATGGGTGCACACTGTGCCATCTGATTAATGAGTGCATACTGTGCTATCTGATTAATGAGTGCATACTGTGCCATCAGATTAAACAAATGTACAATGTTCCATCTGATTAACAAGTGCATGCTGTGTCATCAGATCAAACGAATGTACAATGTACCATCTGATTAATGAGTACATACTGTGCCATCTGATTAACAAGAGCCACTCATTAATCTGATACACAGTGTGCACTCATTAATCTGATGACACAGTGTGCACTCATTAATCTGATGACACAGTGTGCACTCATTAATCTGATGACACAGTGTGCACTCATTAATCTGATGACACAGTGTGCACTCATTAATCTGATGACACAGCATGCACTCATTAATCTTATGGCACAGCATGCACTCATTAATCTTATGGCACAGCATTCACTCATTAATCTTATGGCACAGCATTCACTCATTAATCTTATGGCACAGCATGCACTCATTAATCTTATGGCACAGCATTCACTCATTAATCTTATGGCACAGCATTCACTCATCACTCATTAATCTTATGGCACAGCATTCACTCATTAATCTTATGACACAAGTGTGCACTCATTAATCTTATGGCACAGCATGCACTCATTAATCTTATGGCACAGCATTCACTCATTAATCTGATGACACAGCATTCACTCATTAATCTGATGACACAGCATTAATGCTGTGTCATAAGATTAATGAGTGCATTCTGTGCCATAAGATTAATGAGTGCATGCTGTGCCATAAGATTAATGAGTGCATGCTGTGCCATAAGATTAATGGGTGCATGCTGTGCCATAAGATTAACATTCAGGTAATAACTGAATAGCCAGATGCATAGTTTAAAAAAGTAAGAAGCAGTAACAACAGTTGTTTTGCAAGAAGAGAAAAAAAGAAAGAAATGTAACGAGTATTATAACATGCTATTTTTTTTTATTAACTAACATGTAAGAACATTATTTGACTTTTTTCTGAAGTAATGACCAATCATTTATTTTTTCTCAGTAAATTATCCAAAACTGTATATGATGTCCCACAAGAAGTATACACTTTATTTAATGACAAATATATGTATATAATCCTTAGCAAAAGTTATAACCTTAAAAATAAATTTCCACATGTCACTTAAGTTTAAAAGCCAATAAAAAAATAATGCTATAAACATATTCAAGATATCAAATCAAATAAAAAACAACAACATTCATTATCTTTTACTTTATTGTTGATCACATAAAAACGTAAGTACAGTCAAATCAAAAACATATACTCTATGTCATTGTGTCAATACATCTATACTTTGTAGTTCTATTAGGTTTGAAGTTCCTTTATCTAAAGTTTTATTATTTTAAAAATTTCCAGATGGCTTAAAACTATAATAATATGTGCACAGTGAATGTCAAAAACACAGTTTGATCTAATTTTAAATCACTTCTCTACAAAAACTATATATGTTTATAGTATTTTATGCCTTTTTTTTTCTCACAACTTGATACTATTCTAGAGAGGTTTGAGAGACTAGCAGTGAAACTTAGATCAATTAACTTTATAACACTCTTAATGGGACTAAATGTTACAAGATTTATCAGTTTTCTTTAACCAGTTTCTAGTGAAAAGGGATCTAAAATTTACATAATTGCCTCCTAGTTTCAGAATATACATATATTTATTTTGGTATTTTCAACATGAATGACATCTTTTATGCGACACATAAACTAAACGGCTAAGTAAGAGATCTTAAAGTTCAAACATACCCATCCCTAACTTACAACTGCAGACCAGATGGAAGGCTACTAGTCAGCAGCATCCACTGTCTACACGATACCCTTAAACAATCAGCAGGATTAACCATTACTATTATAACATCAAAACAGCTAATAGGGTGGAGTAGGTTCAGCTGCTTGTTGCAGCATGAACCTTGGACCTTTTGATGTACAGTCTGGCACACTAATCATTAGGCCATACTGTAAACAGATATCTGTGCTAGAGGTCACTTATTTATTATTCTTTAATCACTGCAGTTAGCACTGCAAAGAGATTAAGCCTACAGGGCTGTAAAGTTTTTTGACCAATTATTGAAAAATAAGGCTAAAACAAAAGATGGATCACACTTTTATTTTTTCTCAACAGAAATAGGTAGAAAACTATTGTAGTTGGTGACATTTATTGTTGTTTAAGACAATGAGACACATCTAAAGGTAAAATTAACATCTTCTTTCCTGCAAATGTATTTCAGATAGATACTCACCTCTCTGCACAACAAACAGTTCTTACCTTACACACTGCTGTAAAGATTTTCTGCACCTGCCATAAGCCTTGATTGAAACTTCCACCCCTCCATGTGTTAAGTATTGCATCAGCCTATGATGTAATTATTATCAGACATAGTCCTCCACAGAAAAGAAGGAGACACATGGGCAGTAATCTCAGTGAGTACTAGCAGATCAACAAAAGCTCATTCTTGATGAGACAAAAGAAATACACTGGAAGTGGGGAGGAAGGGTGGGAAATTGTGCAGGAAAGTATCTATTTGAAATATATTTTTAGATATGGAAAATGATGTTAACTTCAGAAATATAATTCACATCTCTGCACAACAAACAACTAGAATCCCACACTGAAGATGGTTGAGGGGCTAATGCAGACAAAGAAATTTCAAAGGTTAGCTCCTTTCTAAAAACAAAGCATAAGAAAGAGAGAGCTTCTGAAGTGTGTCACCCACTAGCAGGGGTAGCCCCGTGAAACATCACTTGGTGGGAAGTTGCATTCATTTCAAACAGGAAATACTCTTTGCCCAAGAGAAGTGGTAGAGCAAAAGATATTGTAAAAGGAATATTTTGCCTACAGCTAAAGTGTCACTAGAATTAGTGGAATCTAAGATTGGTTAACCATCCATTGTGTCACAGGCAATAAGCTGATCACAAGTATTCAATGTGGCTAGGACTATAAGTTAGGCTCTTCCGGACTGGAGAAATACTTAAGTAAAATACTTACCACAATATTCAGGTGCAGGAAGAAACATCCCAGATCTGTTTCTTGAGAAGAACACAAGACCCATCCTTCTGGACTAACCCTGGGAATGGCTTGGTTCATAACACAAAGAGACAGTCTGTACTTCACTATCAGGAATACCTCAGTCCTACTTCTCATCAAGGGGTGGGTCCACTGAGTCTCATGCCAGTGGGATTATATTCCCCCTAATGAGGAACTATTCATATTGACCTCCTGAGTGGTTTGAGATTGGGGAAGCAAGGGTTCTCCCTTTGCTCCACTTGAAGAAAACATAAGGGAGGAATTTGTATTGGGGAAAGTGTTGGAGATGCTTGGACTGACACAGGAATTCTCACATCTACCTAGGTTCCACATTGATAGATTGTGCAATAGGTTATCACAATTAAAAACAGCAGGTACTAGCCAGCTGCTTGGTGTGATATAGTGCTGTCATTGCTTTTTCTTTCCAAGTGTAGAATGGCCTGTAAGAGGAAATGTACAGATACTGACAAAGCAGTCTTGCAAAAAACCCATCTCAACAGCAGGCAGAAGCAGATGGGCCTAACACTTTCTGTTATTGCCTATTCAATATAGATTTTAGGAGATAAATATATCCTGTGAGACAACACCAGCCATTTGGTGGTTTTGAAACCTGAAAAAAGGAGAAAAAGAAACAACACACCATTAGAGAGCCACTGTGGAGTGGAAAATGGTGACTGGAGAGAGATGATATCCACGGTAGACAAAACCTTCTTGTGGTGTCAGAAATGTGATACTAACTTGTTGGGGTCATCCACATCCCTGCCTGCAAGATCTCATACAGGGGATGTCAAATGCTAGAGGCAAGAGCATTCACATGATAAAAAACATGATGTAAGGATATATTAAATAAGAAAAGGGTCAATGCCCATAGAAGAATAAATGAGCTTGATTGGGTGTATAATCCACCTGGGCAAAGTGAGAGAAGATAAGTTGCTAAACAAAGAGGAATCCCACAGAAAGAAAAGACATTAACAAGTGTCCTAAAAAAGTGCAGTACATGTGAGGTTACAATGGATATATCATACAGATCAAAGGAGATAATCTGGGATGGAGGAAACATTGACAATGCCCTGAAAAAGTGCAGTACAAGTGAGGTAACAATGAATAGTCCATACAGATCAAAGGAGATGATCCAGGCTGAAACAGTCATACAGGGAAGAAATGTAAAGGAGGATGAATGGAGAAAACATCCAAACACTCTCCCAATATCAGGAGGGAAAGAGCAATTGGGGAAGAAGTTTAGCCTGTTACCATGGTAAGTAGAGTGGGAGGAAGCCAAGACAAAAGTGATAATAAGTATGTCTGAAACCTATAAAATGGGTTGAACCACACCAGACACAGAGCCATCCTCCACCAAAACTGTAGAGTCTGGGACTGGATACCAAAAAAGTGGAAGTGAGGAGTGTACAGGAGTTGAAAAGACAATAATGACAGGACTCCCACAGTAAAAGAAGATCCACTGAAAACATCAGAGGATGGAGAAACCACTCTGTGTGAATGGTCCAGGACTAGACAAGGAAATCATTGTGCCACCAGCTAACCCAAAGGAAAGGACTGGGGAACAAATAATTGACCATTGTGGATGAATATAATGAAGTAAAAGATGGAAAAACAAATTGGGATGTGGAGAAACTGTCTAAAATCTTGATCCATGTAATCCACCACTGGGAGAGTATCCATAGAAAACCATCCATGAAGAGACAAAAAAGGACCAGAGACAGGTCAAGTGAATTGAACTGATGACTGGCTGCTAAACTCTTGGTGCCATGGGAATGACAAGAAGATAGAAGACCCCAGAGTTGGGTAGAGAAATTGTCCCATGGTACTCTAGAGATAAAGTAGTAAGGCATGAAAAAAACCCAGAGGATCTCAGTAGACTGTATCAAAGTGAGTACACAGGAGTTTACAAGACTGGAGCCAAGGGACAGCTCCAGAAATAGAACATCTCAAAGAACTGCAATGGCCAACCCTGAAAGAGGGAGGGACCTTGAACAGTAGTGTCAGGTTTAATAGGCCAGATTCTTTACAGTAGGTGTCTGCATGTTGTTGGTGATAAATTTCAACAATAAATAGACAGCACACAATCCATTTGTTTTAAAATAATACATTCAAAACAAGTCAAACGTTGTTTCTGGAGCTTTAAATAATTGTCTCTTTTTTTCATCAAAGTCCCGCAGGAGGGTTAAATCACTTTAGAACATTCACCTCTATTTTTGTTATTACAATACATTTTGTGAAACTTACTTTAGAAGTCACCTGTTATGTCTAAACTGACAATCATGCAGTCTAATTTCATTTATGCTTTCACTAACTTAACTTCATGCACTAACTTTGTGAATGTTATTGATGTTCTGGTTATATAAAAATAGATAAATAGCTTTCAAACTATTGATTACATTAATTGTTAATAGGTGATTGAATCAGCACTATAAAACAATAATGAATTAAATATTGCATTCCCGTTATTGATCCAGATAATCCGCTATGACAATAAGTTGACAACCTGGATTGATAATGGTAATGTGAGACTTAGTACTTTCTACAAACTATGAGATGTTAGGATGTAACAATATTCACTTAAAGCACAATAAGTTGACAACCTGGATTGATAATGGTAATGTGAGACTTAGTACTTTCTACAAACTATGAGATGTTAGGATGTAACAATATTCACTTAAAGCACAATAAGTTGACAACCTGGATTGATAATGGTAATGTGAGACTTAGTACTTTCTACAAACTATGAGATGTTAGGATGTAACAATATTCACTTAAAGCAACAAGGAAAAGTCAGAAGGTACAAGTAACATGATGTCAATTCACAACAACTGAACTACACAACCAATGATTCAAAAACAGTTACGTAAGCAAACTTACCGTAACTATCACTTCTAAAAATAACTTACTTTAACACTTGCTCTATGTGACCAATCTAAATCATAATGTTCACATTAAACTTTAAAGGGAAATGAAACAGTCATGTATATATAACAAGTAATAAGAGGACAAGAAACAGAAAAAAGGGCAAACACATAAAGCTGTATGTGATGATAAACTCAGTGGGGCCCCCTGGTCTCAAAGGGAAGAAACTAAAGTGAGCAGAGAATACTGTTGATTATCTACATCAGCTAAAGAGACTGAAGTATAATAAATACCCCCCCCCTCCCAACAAAAAAAATCACAAAGAAAGGGTGCAAGACAGAGGGCATAGAGAGAAGATTAAGGAAGGTGAATGTTAGAAAGTAAGGCAAGCTGATGAAGTACATAAAAACAAATAAATCAAATTAACTGGGACAAAATGGAAAAAAAGTGAAGGCAAGGTGAAAAACAGGTATTTACAAGTTGCTTCAGTGAAGCTGACAGGATCATGATGTAAAGACTGGAAACAAAGGGAAGGCATGAGAATGAACAGAGAAGTTGAGTAAAAGAAAACAACAAGAAGGAAAAAGAGGAGATACTTAAAATGAAAGAAAAACATGCAGTTGAATGAGGCTCATGCAATAAAAGAGCTTGAGAATCAGCAAAAAATTGGTTGAGAAAGGAAGACAAAAACACATACCTGTGGAATCCAAGCATAAAGGTGGGATTACCTGATCCTCATCAAGAAGAGTGAACAAGAAGCAAAGGCAAGTGTGGAGATAACAGTGGTGAAACACAAAAAGGGGCAGGCTCAGTTGAAGTAGCTGAAGCATGAGGTCGGGAATCCGGGATCAGAATGGAACCAACAATGTGGTGCAACAATGGTGATAGTATCACTAACCATCAGAGTACCTCCATTTCCAATTATAGTATTGAAAGACTCTTGTGAAGAAGTGTCATAAACTTCCAGAGCTGTCAGAAATGTGGGAACATGTATGTAATTGACTTGATTTACGACACTGATATGGTGGTGGCCCTTTACTTTAAAAAACGTGGAAGATGTGTTTTGTTCTTTTTCTTTTCAATGAGAAATAAAATGAGCCTGATACGTGGATGGTGCATGGGTCTAATGATGATGATGAAGAGTACTGGACGAAACCCATAAACAATGCGAACGGAAAGTGGGAAATATGTTCCAAAAGTACAAATTCAATTAAACTAAAGTTAAACTGATGAAAATTTGAATCATAGTTTTAATTGATAAGTTTAAAATTTTGTATCATTCTTATGAAAAAGAAAGAAACATGTCTGAAGGCAAGTAGTGCCAAAGAAAGAATGAGCCTTTATTCAAACTGTAGTGCTCATAGGGATTACTATAGTTTGAAAATTTGTCATCCCCTATAAAAGGACTATAGCCTAATGATGATTACATCATTGGTTGGCACAATACACATTAGCACATGTATGGGTGGGATTTTTATTCAAGGCCTGTAGCATACATAGAAAAGCTTTAAGCCAATGTGTGAGGTAATAGCTGTGTGTTTTGCAGAGAGGTGAGTAGCATTTCTGAATCCCAAATTTTACATACTTATACATGTGCAATCCCCATCATATAGTCTAAAGTTGTCTCACACTTTCTGATCTGTTCACTCAATCATTTGATTTGTATCAGTGCCATTTAAACCCTTTTTGTTATTTACATTACACTTTTTCATGAAACTTATACCTGGTTTATCTGTTTCATTAAGCATTAATTTCAACAATACACACCAATTCTCATAAATACCTAAAGATTCATTTGAAGATGTTACATCACTTTCTTCTGCTTGTTTATCAAAACTAGTTTTCAGTATTTCTTCCATGTGGTGATCTATATGAAATACCGCTTCCTGAGAGTCAGTTTCACTAACATGATCCCATGTGGAGTCAGCAGTATTACATGCAATGCTAGTGGTATGTTGTGGCTTTTCGGTGTTGTATAGATCGTCGCACCCGAGCTGAAGATCAGGTGAAGAATGTGCTACAAAACAAAATTAATCTTGAAGTAGGAACAATAAGAAAAATAAAACACAAATGCCATCAAAATTAGAAGTAATTTCATTCTCCTTGAATTTCATATCCTCTTACTTGTAATCTTCTTTCAGTTACCCAAGATCTTTAATTCCAAAAAGAATTTTTTTTTTCCAAACAGAATCTATGGGTTAACTTTTGGTTTATGAATTTAGTCTTAAGATCAATATGCTGAGAGTTACATTAATACTGGTTAGAAAGGAAGGAATTTTTTCAACATAGTGATTCCTATAATTACATCTACAAATAAAAAAACAATGACACAGGCCATGTCAAAAGCTCCTCCCATATAATGTACAAAAGGGAATCAACATCTCTCTTCAGTATTACAATGCTATCTTTTTCTTCATATGTAGTAGAGTAGCTTTTTAGATGTATATTGTGAGTTTATTATAAAACTAAATACATAGGATACTTTCAGGTGAACATGTAGCTCTGTGTTCTGTCAAAAGAGACTGGAATTTTTCATAAAAACTAACATAATGTACAGAAATAGTAATTTCATTTTCAAAAGGTTCAACTAGTTTCATTCATCTGTACAAACACATTTGAAATTGAAATATTTTAACAGGTAGTAGAGACTTTTATCATGACCTTATAAAAACCTGCACTGGAAGCTTAAACTGTCATCTCCAAACAAGTGGATACAGGTTGAGGAATCCTGTGAACTTTACTGAAACTTTCTTAAACAAATAACTTACTTTGTAATCAATGATCATCAAAGCCATTGTTGCTGGCCTGGTAGGTTGGTACCAAAACACCATTAGCAGGATTTGACTCAACAAATAACTTACTTTGTAATAAATGATCATCAAAGCTATTGTTGCTGGCCTGGTAGGTTGGTACCAAAACACCATTAGCAGGATTTGACTCAACAAATAACTTACTTTGTAATAAATGATCATCAAAGCTATTGTTGCTGGCCTGGTAGATTGGTACCAAAACACCATTAGCAGGATTTGACTCAACAAATAACTTACTTTGTAATCGATGATCATCAAAGCCATTGCTGCTGGCCTCATAGGTTGGTACCAAAACACCATTAGCAGGATTTGACTCAACAAATAACTTACTTTGTAATCGATGATCATTAAAGCCATTGCTGCTGGCCTCATAGGTTGGTACCAAAACACCATTAGCTGGATTTGAAATTAGAAGAATGTTCTCACTAGCCTGTTTACTCCATAGTATGAAACGGTACCAAGATAAAAAAGCTATTAAACTGAGGAAGAAAATGTTTGTGCTGATTCCCACAAAGGCTGAGATGACTGGCCAGTAAAACATAAAGTACCTGGGAATTGAAAACAAATTTATAATAAAAACATTGAAATTTGAAATAAAATATGAAGATGTTTCCCATTATTAACGTTGTGTGAAAACCAATTACTACATGAGTATCTTTTAGACTCTCACATACAATACACTTAAACTGTTCAAACTTAGTGTCCAATAAAGTACTAATTAAACATGAAAGTTCAGAAAAATATTTCAAAGAAATGGCTAACTGTAAATCATTTAAATTTCAGAAATTATTACAGTAAATTAGAAAATAATTAGCAATTTTAAAGGTCAAATAACATAATACTCTGGTGAAAAAAAGAAGTATTCTTAGAAACTGTTAACACATTTACACAATGGTGCCCATATTTTTGATTTTATAAGCATATCCAAAGAAGAAAATCAGCATTAAATAATTCAAAACTATTCTCAATAATAATCCTTTGCTCCTTAGAGTGATAATTTCTGAAGCAATAGAAAATGAAAATAAATGTCTATAAAACATCTATATCAGTGGTTCTCAAACTTTTTTTATTTATGGAGCACCAGAATTTTTTTATATCTTGGCAGACCATAATGGGATCAATACAGTATGCTGCTAGAGCCCGTGTACCACAGATTGAGAACCACTAATCTACATTTCTCAATATTTTCCTTCACGTTATCCCATAAAGACAAAACTTGAAATGTACATCAAATAACTTATATGACAGGCATGAATACTTAACCTGTTCATTATGAAGAAAATATAATAAATGATAAATTTTTCTAATGTGCTTCTCACTGTCCTTTATTTAAGTAGCTCCCTTGCTCATGTTATGGAGCCATATGAAGATTGTGCTGAACAGGAATAGAAGCTTCACATCAGCTAATGTTTGCCTGATAATGGTGCTTTAATAGCACCAAAACATGTAGAGTCTATTCTTGCATGCTAATAGATAAATTTATATTCTGCACTAAGTCCTCTAATCTTTTCTCTCATAATGTGTTTAGCTGTAGTTAAAGCTTACATACTTTACAAAGAGGCCTGGCATTGCCAGGTGGGTAGGGTGCTCGACTCGCAATCAGAGGGTCACAGATTTGAATCCCCGTCTGACCAACATGCTCACCCTTTCAGCCATAGAGGCATTATAATGTGATGGTCAATCCCACTATTCGTTGGTAAAAGAGTAGCACAAGAGTTGGCGGTGGGTGGAGATGACTAGCTGCTTTCCCTCTAGTCTTTCACTGCTAAATTAAGGACGGCTAGCAGAGATAGCCCTCATGTAGCTTTGCATGAAATTCAAAACAAACAAACAAGCAAATAACTTTACAAAGAAATAAATTATTAGGCTTACCAAAAACCATAACATAAATAAAGATACAAGAACTTTAAGCCACAGGTACAGATATTTTGAGGATAACGAACAATTTAAGTATTTTTTCATTGCACCCCACTCTTCAACAAATAACCTTTGGCCTAGAATATTCGTTCCTCAGTAGGATGAATGAAACTACACAGAAACACCTATAAAAACACAGAATAGTCATTCCTCAGTAGGATGAATGAAACTACACAGAAACACCTATAGAAACACAGAATAGTCATTCCTCAGTAGGATGAATGAAACTACATAGAAACACCT